GTAATTCACCGTACACGATAATGTGATTTGATACATGTAAACGAATACGCAAATATTACAACATTGTACACGGCAATGAATCGCCAAAGCATACAGACTCGTTAACTCCGACGCAACTCTCACAGCACAAAAACACGCATATACAATGTACCTACTCACTAACGATTGTCCTAGGGTCGTGTGCTTTTAACCAATAAATGTGCTTTTTGGTTACATTGCAGGACGAAAAACGAGACTTAGAGTTCCAGTGGTGAAAACTAAAGAAGACACTTACATATTTTCAAAGAAATTAGAAAACACTTTTAAATTTATTTATTTATTACAATCACAGAGCGAAAAAAACCATAACTCGACTGTTTGCTGGATTTATGTACACCATCGATATTCAATTTATTGTATTATTCTGTACCATGTAATATGAATACTTAAGCATAACTAAAATCATCCTATGCAAAAATACCAATTCACTCGCTCAACTATTATGTATAAATTGCGCCCTCTAATAGCACATGTATACATTGTTTTATTATGTATTAGTATTTGTTTGAAAAATAAATATGGGAAGTAAATCGAAAATTATTATTTTTGCGTTACATAAGATACAGATCTATGCAGCCAATGTTCAACGTTGGGTGTGTGTTTTCTCGATTGGCGATTCGAACTAAAAACTGTGTAGAACCGCGGTAACAGCCCTTGAAAAAAATGTCCTCGAGCCAATATTTGCTGTCATTGCTGCTTTAGTGAGATATGTTTAAACGAATAATGATGGACAGCCTTATCTCTCGATAGTCAGTGTCTGTACAAATATTAGTCACATCATCTCCGCCATCAGTACACTCTTACGTGGTTAGTGTTAGTTGCCACTATTTCGTCATGTGACAGATCCCTCATTTGCACATCGTCTTTCCTATTTCTCTGCTTCCGCCTGCGAGACAATTTTGTGCACATAAAACGTGTACTGGTGACGATTAGCTCTAAGAATTCGATGACTGTAATCAGTGACAGTCCGATGTAGAGACCCAAGAGGCCACCGATGTCACCGAGTAGTTGCTCGATCTGGAAAACAAATATATGCATAATGTAGAACTATTAATTTATTCCAACACCCTACGGGTGAGTTAAAACATACGTTCATGGTTAAAACAATGCTCGAGTTTCCATCTCATGCACAGCTCAACTAACGAC